TAACTTAAATAAGTCACATGTATTACTAATCAATAATAAGAAGTATTAAAAAACTTTGTATGAATTTGGGACTAAATAAGTATCAACTATTGTAACAAAATCTCAAATGAACATAAGATAATTATTACATATAGAATATCTTATTTTATACATATTTCATTATTACCACATTAAATATGTATAAAATAAGATCTTTATCTTATTTTATACATATTTCTGTATCATTATTACCACATTAAATATGTATAAAATAAGATCTTTCTTATTTAGAATATCTATGACATAGTAGCACAATCCTATAATAGGAGGATTTATAATCCTCATATGTATCCCTTTATTTAAGTCCTAATACTTTTCATAGGCTCTGCTTTGCATAATGTATTGAAATTAAGAACTTAATTTTGTCTTTATTGACTTATTTTGATAACAAAGTAGACTTGATTATATTCACATCTAAAGCCATGTCAATGTCCATAGATATATATTCTCCATCTATATCCCCTACTAGATGTATTAAAGAATAAAAAAATACAAAAAAAATGAATTCAACTTCTTTTCAAGAATTATTCTAAGGCTATACTTTTCCACATTTTTCTTCATCAATACCATGCACTATGGTTGATTATTGTCCAAAAGATCTTTTGCACATGGTTGAAATAGATTTCTTCATTATTAGTCATGAGTATGGCAAAAAATTTCATTTGCATCTATACTATAAGTAATATATAGTACGCTAACAGAGACAACAATATCAATGGATAGCTCATTAAATTGATATAAGTTAGTTATTCCATTCTTCCTTCTATTGTATCTATCTTCAAGAAAAATCACTACTATTCTAGTCCTTCTTGTTTTGCAATTCCAACTAATCACGTAGGTGGTTTATTTTAAGAACAACTTTGAATTTGCAAAATATAGCATGTATTTGTCTTTCAATAATATTAATGCTATGAATATTAGAGGTTGATTGAACCTAGTCTTGAAGCACTTGAAAAACCTCAATGATAACTTTTTTTCTTTAATGGTTTTAATTTGCTAAGGAAATTAGATGTAATTTTTTTTTTTTTTTTTTTTTTTTTTTTTTTTCTATAATAGATTCTATCAAAAAAGACATGACTTCTAAAAGTGCCTTATTGTTATTGATGTAATGATCACAATCCAAATTTAAGAAAAGAAATGCATTTATTAATATTTCAAATATTTGTATGTCTTATTCAATCTTCTCAATAGTATTAATCTAATTTTGATTGAGTTCCAACAATTCTATTAATATTGTGGCTCAACTTTACATATTATTCTTAATTGAGTAGGATTCAATTCCAAAGTCATAATAGGACTATCAATTCTTCAACCCTATATAAGACTAATTTTTCTTATGTAGTACATTCTATGATAGCTATTGCATACAATTTTTACATGAAATAAATATAAATAGTATTTAAGTATGTTCTAAAGTAATTCCAACAAAGCTTTGCTTTTGGTTCCTAAAAAACCACTAACTTAATAATAAGGCTTTATTTGAATTAACAAAATTGTTCTAATCCTAAATCTTACTTACACTTGATTCAAACCTAAGAAGTTTATTTAAAATTTAAAATTTGCAAAAATTAAACCTATTACATGCTTAATCTAATAGAATCATGCGTCAATAAAAATCAATATTTCATATTACTCAATTTTTTTATCTTTGAGCATCTTTACAAATACTCCAATTATTTGGCTTGAAGAAAAAATTTATAGAACTTCTTATAGAATACAACTTACTCTCTAAGACTGATGGTATTTTCTTTTGGAACTTGTTGTTATTCCAAGCAAAACTTCCAAGGTTCAACTATCAATGAAGTGATATTAAATAGACATGATTTTTTTTTATTGACTATCTTTTAGATGATCAATCCTCAACAAAGTTTTCACCTATTAAAAAAAATTGTTAAAGGCTATTCCAATTAAGTCAATTCTTGTAGTTCTCTTAGAATTTCATTTTTTAGTTTTGTCATGGTTATAATAGATAATTAAACATTAAATTCAAAATATACATAAACTTTTTTTTGAACTAGTTGAATTGAAACAATAATTGCAATTCCTTTCTTTCTTCTATTGTTTTCTTATGGCTTTCAACGTTCTAGTGCATCTATTTGCTAAGTCCATTGAACATGATTTATGTACAACTTCACACTATTCTTTTGTTTGCTGAAAAATTTCCTTATAAGTTCTTATTGAATACTTTGGAATTAACTCTTCATGTGCATTTTATATGTGCAAATCATCTTATGATAGATTAGCAAATGGTTCTTCTATGTGATTCTATAATTTCCATAACTTCCAAAAATATGCATCTAGAACCTTCATGTCTCATATTTTGCTCAAGCCATGGCTATTTTTGTCTTCTTTATTAGTTGCTTGTCATAACTAGAAATTCTAGAAGACTAGATGTTGATTGTTTTTTTCTATGTCAATAATTCCTCTGAACATTCATCTATATTGTGAATTACTTCTATTGTTTTTTTTCTAGAAAAATATTTTCTTTTCTTGAAACAATCAATATTCACTTGTATGGCTATTGTGTTAAGTATCTTTTTTCAACATCATCTAAATATAAATATGTATTTATTCCTTCCTATTAACAAATAAACATGCTTATGGGCAATAAGAGCTTGAGAGCTTTGGTGTCAATTTTTTTTTATGGTATCACAACAAATTATATAGTTTTTCTTCTTGAATATATATATATATATATATATATATATATATATATATATATGTATGTATATTTTTAAACATTTGATATCTTCTTTTCTTCAGGTCTTTTCTCTTCTAGACAAACTATGGTATACATTCAAATTCATTGACTTCCACTCATTTATCTCCTAGCTAGCTTTTAACTCACTTAACTCTCTTCAACCATCTCAATCATCTCCCTAGTTTACAAGCCCTTTACCTTCTTGACCTTTAACTTTTTATTCAAAATTATTTACATTCTACTTTTGTACAAAATTGGATCAACTTGTTAATAGAAAAATAATAAGACAACAACATCAATGACGATGTTATTTAATGGATACAACTATAAATAGTAGACATCAACAATTCAAAGAATATTTCAATACAAAGACTTGTAGAACATTGTCTATACTACACATGTAGCAAGAAATGCAATACTGTCATTACCAAATAATCAAAAGAAGCAATCTATTAGAAATGACAACGACAACAAATTGATATTAAATAAATTAGATATTGAAAGAAAAAAATAAACAAACAAACAAACAAACAAACAAACAAAAAGACAATGGTTTATCTTTTATTAGCCATCAACAATTCCATTTACCTCCAAATTGAAGATTTCAATGACTCCCAAGAAGCATGGCAATATCTACAAAGAGCCTTCAAAACTAACACCATTACTAATACAACAAGCATCTTGAACAAATAGGAGTCACTTTGCATATATAAAAATCAAGATATAGCCAACTTCATGTCATTTGTATATTCTATCTTAAGAGATCTAATACATTTTATAAGAAATAAGTGAAAGATGTAATAATTTTTAATTTAAGATAACATTTTTTTTTAAGTTTATATTATACTAACTTCGGTCTTCTTTCTATTATTGATATATAAAAATATCCACAACTCTAAATATCTTCTTATATCATATTTAAAAATTAATTAATAACTAAAAAATAAAATAAATTTTTATTTTAATCATAATTAAAAATATTTTTGTATTAGAACCAAATTATATTAATTTAAAAAAAATCTAGGTAAATCTAATTATATCAAATTCAAAGTAGCCACAACTTATAGGCAAAGACCTTGATTGTTTTAAAAATAATGAAAGGATGATTATAGATGATTGAGGTGTAAAAATTATGATTGAAAAACTAACTTGGTGATTATATATTATATTTATTTATATGTGTATATATATATATATATATATATATATATATATATATATAATTATATATATATATAATTATATATATAGTCTTTTAATTTTAATAGAAAATTAAAATTTGATATTTATTGATTTAAAATATTTATTTTTAAAATCTATTATTTTTAATCCATGAAAATTATATCAAAATTATTTTATAAATGTACATATTAATAATATATATTTAGTTGATACTAATTTTTTTGACACAATTAAAAATCAACAATAAAAATTGTAAAGACCTCATTATATATTTATTACAAATTATTTGGTTATTAAAGGCATGTTGTATTACAATAGCAATTCCAAGTTTTCTTCTATTTTTTTGAAGTAAAACTTCTTTTAATTACAATAAAAGGTTCATGAACAAACCACATTCCTTAAGTATCATATCAATAAATACCTTTCTATTTTATAGAATTTTAGCCTCAAACATCACTACTTTAGTTGTGATTTTTGTTCAATTAAATTAAACTAATATCTCTACACAAGACTTAGCAATTTGGATTGTCTAACAAATAAATTGAAGCTTTATCTTAACAAAATTGCACAATCTCAACTCAAGAATAAATATTGCATAATACTTGACCTATAACACACAAATTTGGTATGATCTACTTTAATGTTGCTAGCTGTTGCTTAATTTGAAATCTAAAATGTTGCTACAAGTTGCATGTAGTTAACTAGTTCAAAGAATCTTTGTTGTTGACAAATTTAACAAGTCTACAAGTTACATGCAATTTACAAATTTCACAAATCTATAATTTATCTATATATATATATATATATATATATAAATAGATCTAAAAATATTTCTAATGCTCGAACTATCAAGTCAATCCCTACAAATTGCTATCATTTTTACACATCCAAACTAAGTCTTTACATTCACAATTAGTTTCACTATCATGTACAAACACAAACTTTACCATTACAAATTATTCTCTTCTAAGTTAAAACTTCATAAACCAAATGAAAAAAAAGTGGAGATGAGGACATAAATTAAAGGTGAGAACCAGTAAAAGAAAAAAGAAAAAGAAAAAAAAAGAATAGAAACAAATCATGGGTAACACTCATAACCTTAATTTACATTAAAAAATAGTTATCCACTTCGCATGCCCTTCTGAGCACGATTCACAGCGTCTGAAAAGGCTGTAACATCTGAAGGCCAGCTCTAGACTACGGCACACCCACAAAGGGGTCTAGAGTTCCCTGTCATAGTGATGAAACCAATCAACACTGACCAATCTGTGCAGCCTATCACTGAAGAAATTAAGCACAAACCTTTGTGAAGTCATCGAATGTTGTCCAATTTACATGACAACTCTGGAAGTAGAGCACGAGTATGCAGCAATCTACTCCACACGAGTAGACCATTTTGTTGTCAGAGGAATCGAGGCACCATCTTCTCGTGGAAACCCACCTTTCAGATGAGTTTTCATGCCGGCGTTCCATCACTCTCCAGCATAAACGTAATCAGCAGGTATATGCAAGATTGTGAAGCCCATGCTGCAACTGCATCAAATATCTTCATTTCGGTTGTGTATTTAAAAATTTGGTCATGTGGTTCATGTATAAGTCTTCTCATTATGATCACCATCGATGGTATCATAGACTCATACAATTTAAACGCTGAGTAACCTGAAAAAGGATGAAGGGTGACTAATTAGCTTGCGATCTCCGGAACTCTTGTAGATGAATTAGGTATCCACCGCCAAACTTGACAGGAATGGTACCTTAACTTTACCTACCTCGTTGTTACTAAAAGTCAGATTACAGGTCCCCGATTCCTTGTAGAAGCTCCTCAGCATTCTTTACCTCCTTCTGTGCAGCGCTATTGCTACCTTTGCCTTGTGCAAAATTTTCACCGACATCTATTCCCTCAATTGTCAGACCCAAGTCCTTCAGAGCGTCGAACATACAAGCTACATCTACCTTAAGCTTCCTCAAATATTCCTCTTTCGCCTCGATTTTGAGCGCAGTGACGAGCTGGAGAGGCCACACCTTCACTAAAATGCCCAAGTATCTGTCTCGTTTCTCTCTCAGTGTTTCATCCTTTGTGAGATTATTGCGGTCATCGGGACAGTGTTCATTTATCAGCTTCGCGGCCTCCTTGGGCTTGCCCTCTAGAACCAGCGCCTTAGCCATAGATACAGCACTGGCGGTTGTATGCACCAAGCCTTGTTTGTCTCGCCATCTCTGAATCTCATGAACCAATTTCATATCTCCAGCATTGGCGGCACTTGAGATTAGAACATCAAAGAGAGACTCATAAAAGGTAAGACCTACCTTGTTATAGTCTCTCGCAAGGGAGAACATCAAATCTATTTCCCCACTCTCCTTGCACAGCCGCAGAATAATGTCTGCTGTGGTCGCCGTCGGTGTGACGTCATTAGCTTTCATGGCACGCAAAATTTGTCGCATGAATTTCACATCTTTGTGGAACTTGGCATGCTTGAGGAGCAAATGTGCGGTACCAATGCTGGAGGTGAAACCAGACGGATTCTTTCTCCACAGCAACTTCAAAGCATTCTGCTTATCACCCGCTCGAAGACATGCAGCCACCATCATGTGTGTCACCTCCTTGTTATGGCTTACTCCCTTCTCACCCTTCTCCATCATCCTAAGCGACCGCAATCGATCTGCAGCGTCCATGGCGAATGCCACCTCTGAGGCACTGGAGGAAGAGCGTATCAGTTCCATCAATTGGTGCGGATGCGGCATCACCTTCTTTTCCATCAATGCCACAATCTCTCCGTACAGCTTCTGGGGATCCCCGCTAGGCCTCGTCTTCCGCACATGACCTTCCTGCAATGCACTCTGGGTGCAAAAGCCCCTGACTTGCGACTTGCTCTCACAGCCATGCAATTGAAACACTTTCACAAATAAACCAGCTGCCATGGAAGAGCCAATTGCTCGAAATTCCGAAACATGTCCAGCAGATCGAAGGGGCTCACCACCATTCTGGGCGAGTTCAGCTTCACGTACACAAGCATTATGCCCAACAAGCTGAAACTCCCGCAAGGGTGGAATGCGCACTAATCTAACCACTCTCCTCACACCCTGCATCCTTCCTCGCTCTCTAAACCTACAACCCTAAACCCTAAAACCTTGTATCCTGAATCCCAACCCCTAGTCGGAGGATTACGCTCAATACGACGACACCATTATCCCGATCCCCGAATGAAAGCAGAAGCCAAACCTCACCGGACACACTCGGCACACTGTCAAAAGCTGCGAAGGAGACCTGCATTTGGTGCGGGGATTCGGAAACCTACATCAGAAGAATCGGTGTATCGGCCAAACGAAGACGAATCAAGGAATTGACAGGGGATGAGTGAGACGGGAGCGGGGTGCTGGCCATGCCACCAGTGCCGTCAAGAGCAGCGTGGATGAGCGACGACGCGACTGCGACGATCTCACAGCGCCACACGACGACGAAAGCAGGGTGGGTGACTTTGTGGGTGCGGGGGAGGACCGTGCCGACACCGGACGAACGGAAGCAAAGCACTCTGCTCTTTCCAATTCCTTATTTCTCTTTCTGCGATCTTCCTTCTTCCCTGCCCTTCTTTCTCTTCTCGCATTCCCCCTTTCCTCTTCTCTTCGTCCTCTTTCCGCGGTCTTCCTTCTTCCCTGCCCTTCTTTCTCTTCTCGCATTCCCCCTTTCCTCTTCTCTTCGTCCTCTTTCCGCGGTCTTCCTTCTTCCCTGCCCTTCTTTCTCTTCTCGCATTCCCCCTTTCCTCTTCTCTTCGTCCTCTTTCCGCGGTCTTCCTTCTTCCCTGCCCTTCTTTCTCTTCTCGCATTCCCCCTTTCCTCTTCTCTTCGTCCTCTTTCCGCGGTCTTCCTTCTTCCCTGCCCTTCTTTCTCTTCTCGCATTCCCCCTTTCCTCTTCTCTTCGTCCTCTTTCCGCGGTCTTCCTTCTTCCCTGCCCTTCTTTCTCTTCTCGCATTCCCCCTTTCCTCTTCTCTTCGTCCTCTTTCCGCGGTCTTCCTTCTTCTCTGCCCTTCTTTCTCTTCTCGCATTCTTCCATTCCCCTTCCCTTCTTTCTCTGTCCGCACTATTCATACTTCCCTGCCTTTCTTTCTCTTCTTTCTTCCTTTTCCCTTTCCTTCTTTCTCTTTCCGCGTTCTTCCTTCTGCCTTCTTGCATTCTGTGCTTTTTCTGTGTCGTTGTGGAACTTTTCTTATAGTTTTGAGATTTTAATTCTTTTCTTGATTTATTTAATTTTTTATTTTTATTATATTCTTCTTGTTGAAAATATAATTTTTACACGTTTTTATTTTATTTTCATTTTTAAATATTCTAGGTATTCATTTTTAGTTTTGCTTTTGATCTTTTGTTACAGATTGTTACTTAATATTTCAAGGTTAAAGTTTGTAAAAATAATATTATTTTTAGGTGTGAACCTTTCTGGAACATATTTGAAACATTTTTCTTATATATTTGGAAGAATTTTTTATTATATATATATATATATATATATATATATATATGTATAGTGAAAAAAACTATTATTCTTTGAGTTATTATTATTTCTATCTTCAGTAGGTATGAGTAAAATATTGTTTTACTTTTGTGAGAAATATACTGAAGTCCTATTCATTTCTTTATTTTGATGTAACCTCCTTAACTACTATTTTATTTCTATTAACCAAAAAATGCATAAAAAGAAATTTCTTTTTTTTTTTCTTTTTTTCAAATAATTTTTATTCTTGATTTTTTTTAGTTGATTTTTAACTTTTAGAGATGTGCAAATTCTAGAGATGTGAAATTGAGGGATTGGTGAGGAATGTATGACACTCAGAGCAAAGGTGGGTCAATTTAAGTTTTACATGGATTGATTTAATAGTCTCCAAATTATCTCTAGATATATATACTTTAACAAAATAAGGATAAAACACAACATGCACCAATCAATAATAAATTTAATATACATATACACATTGTCATGTGAAACAAGCAACACACATTCCTGATGTTGCATGACTTTTCAGAACAATCAGCCATAAAATGAAAAACATCGATTGGGATTAATTATAATCTTATTTGATAATATGTCACTCAACTATTAATCTGAACTTCTATAATGCAAATGACTTTGTTACGCATAAACACTTATATAGCTACAGGAATAAGTAGAATACGAGTCACGAAAGATACATACATACATACATACATACACGTTTACGAACACTTTCTAAATCCTACTAATGCTTATGAAGAGCCGCGGTTTAAGTAGAACAAACGCCCTTCCTGGTTGGAACGGACGAAGGCGGTCAGAACGTTCCTCTCTGCTATATACACGCGGACGGAAGAAACCCGACGTATTTCTCGTTCATTGACGTCCGGCGTGAACTCAACGAAACACGGAGACGGACGACGACGACGGAGCAAAGGGACAGAAAAAGGAAGAGCAAAATGACAATAGGAATAATAACAAAACAAAAACTGCTGCAGCGCTATTTTTGCTTCATCGCTGACATCAATCATCCTTATGCCAATTGAGTTACGGAGTCCAATCTCGATGTAAAGTAGCAGCAACAATGATAAAATGCTAATAATAGAAACAACTGGAGCAACTGTGAGAAGAACTGGAAGAAGCACAGATTGTCACCTCGATTTCAAGCTCAGATTAGTCCACGCCTCCAGTACAAGTCTGTTTTCATTTTATCTGGTGGTTTTGAATGTCTAATTTTAAGGTTTGTTGAGGGTGGTTGAAGAAAAGAGACAAGTGCAGCTGAAGATGAGTGAGGTGAGGGCCCTGAGTAGCTTAGTGTAGGAGGGAAGTTTAGTGTTGAGTGTTGCGTAAGGATTTAGCTTGGAGCCGAGTTGCTCCGTTGTGGCTGTGGAGGTGGTGTTTGTGGGGGGTTGTTTGATGTTTTAGAGAATTAAGTGGCAGAAGTTGGAGCGATAGTTAGGGGATCGTTTGCACGGGATTTGTAAGAGTTGTGCAGTCTTTTCAAGAAAGATTGATTAGGTAATGAGTTTACTTAAGAGTAATTAACTAGTATTCAGGTGAGTTATAGGGCAGATTGTGACGAATTTTCATTGACATTGTGTGTGAAGCTTCTAGTTCGAGCATTAGAGTAGTTACTATAACCAGATGGTGTGGCATAGAATTGGTGCTGTTAGGGCTCAGAGATGATAGTGTGAGTCTTTCTTTTTTCTGAATTGTTCACATAGAAGCGATGTTTGGGGATAGATTCTCAGATAGGACGAACCCATCGATGGCGGAAGCGCGGACAGAAAGTTGGACGGGGAAGCGGATTGTGGTTTCTCCAGTGGAAGGTAGCGATTATACTTCTATGTCTCAAGTGTGGTCAGAGCCTCCAATTTTGTTTTTTAATTTGTATGAACAGCATTGTCCACTTTCCTGTGTCATTGCCCTGGATATTTTGCTGAAGTCCGTCTTTTTGGTTTTATCATATGAGATGGTTAGATTCTGTACGTTGAAAGTAATTAGGTCGTGTTTTGCAACGTTAAATTATTGAGATATTCATTTGCCTCTGAACTGCAGATGCTTTTCCTAGCTTGTTGATTTAAATATTGCATTTTAGCTCTTGAATAAGTTTAAACAGTTTTGATTATGAGCGAGGTCGAGCTAGTTGTGGTCATGACTGTAGTATAGGATGCAGTGTATTATAAGATCGATATCATGGGCGCATCGTAGGCCATGGATCATGGGAACAACTCGAAATCGTTGAGTGTACTACATCTACATGGGATCCACTTCATGTTTTCGATTCAATCTTCCCCAAACTGAGATCCAGTGCAGTCTGCAGTAATTTCACATCCAATTTAACTTGAATGTGGTGCAGTGACGAATTTTTTGGGTTCGATACCATTATTGCAGCAGCTACCTGGAACATCAATCCAGAAGATCGCAGAAGTAGTGGAGCCACTTCAATTTGGTAAGAACGAGAACTGAACTATATTATTATCCGAGTTGGTTGGTGTAGTTCACACTCATTCTAAAATGATCCTCTGTCATTTAGGGAAAGGGGAGGTGCTTTTGCGAGAAGGTACACCTGAAGATGGATTGTACTTCCTTTGGAAAGGAGAGGTACACAAAATTTAAGCTTCTGATTAACTAACTATTTTGTGAGTTTTTAGCATATTGAATTTCATTCTAGGCATCATTCAGAGACACCTGCTCGCGATGGGAGAGGGGTAATGGATTAGTAGAAGGAACTATTCAGAGGTCTTTTCTGTAGTTTTTGCATGCATGTGTACTTTGACCCGTCTTCTTTTACACGAATCATTGTTCTTTTCTCATAAGTTATTTTCATTGGCAGGTAGAAGTTTCGATTCCGAACTCTATGGGAAGTCATACTTTGGGACTTTTGAAGTCAGGAGATTATTTCGGATATGGTAAGTTATCTCCTTTCTTTCTTTGGAGGTCAGTATATCTTATCCCATGATTTGCACAAACTTTGTGAACCTCTTTTAAGTGTGTCCATAAAAATGAGTAATAGCCTTTTCAAGTGCTTTTTGCGATTATCCTCAGCGTATGGTGACAACTGAAAATAAAACGTTCAGCAGATACATGAGCGGTTAGCATTTGTGTAGGTGTGTGCAACATTCTAACATGAAATGGAAGACCCCTGATTCGTGTCGTCTTTGGCAGCTTCTGCTGAACTAATTAAGAATCTCAATAAGTCCGATGTAACGGCTATTTCCGAGGTTAGATGCTGTCCTTAATGGTTTTGTTATAGGATGTGTACTGGCATTTAGCATATCTATATTACATGATTCAGATTTCAAGTGGTCTTTTTGAGCTCACCAGCGTTCAATCAGTGTCACAAGGGTTGATATTATTTGAATTTACTTTTGTCTTGAGTACAGATTGACTTTTGCCGGCTCAAGCTTAACTATGATGGTTTTGTTCATTTAGCTAGATCCTTTTGCATGTCTGGTAGCAATTCTAGTTTGATATTACTGTCTCTTGTATTGAGTTATTTCTTCTACAGTGAATCTGCCTCATTAAATCATTGCTGTGTCTGTTCAATGTTTCACCTTTAGTTTTCCTGAATCATTATGTTCTGGAGTTCATTGCAGGTTATCTGCTTTGTTCTTCGTAATGAAAATGCGCATCTGCTATCTAGTGTATCTATATGGGCACAACAACCAGATGAAAGTGAAGTTGCTCTTCTTGAGCGCATACTAGAGTTGGAGACTTTAGAGGTGAGAGGTATAGACATTATGAAAATATTTAATGGCGATGAGAAGAGGGATTCATTAGTTAGCTGTATGATATTTTTTTCTAAACAGAAGCTCTACGGTCATCGTTTTCTGATGATGCTTTGATGAATTCAGGTTGATTTGTATAAAGGATACACGAAGCCTGACTACCCCTCTTTTGGTGGGAATGTCTATGGCGGGCAGCTCTTAGGCCAGGTAAGATATGTACCCTTAGAGTAATAAATATCTTGGTTTTACTCTTGATGTGGAATGTTGCAGGGGTTGTTCAGTATTGTAATTGGTTCCATTTCAATGAACGTGTAGAGAATTATACACGTGTATGTGAGAAGACTTACTATATAGTGCAAGTTGCAGGCTTTAGCAGCTGCTAGCAAATCCGTGGATCCTGCACTACTAGTCCACAGCCTTCATGCGTACTTTCTCCTTACTGGAGATGAACGGAGTACGATTCATTTTTCTACGCACACATGTGCAGCAATTGCTGGAAGCATGCTCTGGTCAATTTTACTAAATTAGTCTTAATTCAGAGATTATATATTTTTTTCTAAAGATTTTGTAAATGATTATTTGTATACGAGCGTTGCGTGGACATGTTTCTCAAGCAGCATCATTGTTTGCTTGGTACTTTCCTGCCTGGTTCAGTGTAAGTAGTGCCATGTGTAATACTTGGCTGTACATTTAAAGTTTGTGTTATAAATGCAGTGCCAATCATCTACAAGGTAGAGAGGACGCGCAATGGTCACACTTTTGCAACCAGACAGGTTTCTGCAATACAAAAAGGCAGAGTAATCTTTACAATGTATGCCTCTTTTCAGGTCAGTACATCTCCTTCAGCTGTACAAATTCTTATTAGTCGAATGTTATGATGACCAAGCTTTCTAAGGATTATTTGAAAATCAGACTGGCAAAATTCCTCAGGTATCTGCAAGGAGCTTTAACAGTACTTTTCTTTATGATGGTTCTTTTGGTGTGCTTTCTTATAGAGATCCATGGAAGGTTTTGAACATCAAGAATCGATGCCAAATGTTCCTACTCCAGACCAGGTAAGTTCTATATTTTTGGTTGATCTTTGTTGTTTTTTATTTTGCATCTACTTCATCTTGCTGAGTTTATGTGCTAGCTTTTTCCCAAGTGTATTGCTGCTTAATTCTTTCTCTCAAATCAATGAGACATTCGTGGATAATTTTTCTGGATTTTCAGCTGTTATCCCAGGATGAATTACGGAAAAGATACTTTTCTGATCCTCGAATTCCTTTGTAAGCATATTTTTCTTCTATCCTTATCTCATTATGTCGACGGAATTTTATTGACTTTGTCAAAGATACAGATTCAAATAGTAATGTGCGGAATTTCATGGCAGTGCTCAAAGCCACCAAAATCATAGAGCTTGTGTTAGTGTAAGAGGCATGGGTATAAACGGCTATGTTATAGAGGTTATCTTTGCCACAAAAAGCAGAAAATTGATTCTTGTTTGCTAAAGTGAGTGAGGGAAAGCCATGCACCGAATGTGAATGGTCATGACGTGTTGTTTCAGGAAGAAGAGAGAGAAATGGGCTGGTGGTAAGCCAACCAAAAGTAGTCCTCTGGATGTGAAGGAAGTTGATCCTATTGACGAAGTATCTAAAGAAGCGCTACCACCATGGTAATTCAACTCTTAATCCACTTCCTTGTTGGGAGGCGCAAGCATTAATTTGAGTACTTTTACATGGTTAGTTTTTACATAGTATGTCTTTCTCCGTGTGTACTAATTTTGACGTCAAGTGGTGCAGGCAGAGCGTGTGGATGAAATCAAAAGGCAAATTAACTGACGATCCTGCTCTTCACCGGTATTCTATCTAACTCTAGACGTAATAGTGTAACTAGTAACGAATTGCGTGCTTCATGAAAAGAATAAAATTGCAACACATTATTTTACCTTTCATTTATTTATTTATTTATTTCATTGAGAGCTCATTTAACTAAAGAATCTATAGCTGTGATTTAGTACCCGATCGAATTTGGTAGTTACCAGTGGTACTTTGTGGCATTTCAGAAATGCAAACGCTTTTTCACTGTTTAAAAACGGATTGATAAATTGCATCTTTATAATGTTAGGACGTTCAGCATGATTACTGTACGTCTAAATTTATTCTGTTTTAATTATAATTGAGTAAATTAATCAATTGAACTGTCATTTTCAGGTGTGCAGCTGTGTATGCATCTGATTGGACTTTTTTAGCTACAGCAAAGCGGCCTCATCGGACAGTACCAATTCAGCTACTTAGTTTGGATCACTCGTACGTCTTATCGTATCTGCTGCATTCATCCTTCAAGTCTGTATACGTTCAATTGTTTGCCAACTAGTGTTTTGTTGACGTTAGATATGTAAAATTCACGTATTCCGCTTCATTTTCGTTGTATGGGCATTAGCTCAGTCAATTTGGTTCTGTTGCAGCATGTGGTTTCACAAGCCATTCAGAGCTGATGAATGGCTGCTCTTTGTGGTATGTTTCCGCTCATTTCCCCTTGATGTTGTAGGGCATTCAAATAATAATCCCTATTGAATTTGTTGCAATGATGTATAATCTTGTAAATGTTATGTTGTAGTACCCCACATAAGTACCATAAATCATCGTCATATAGGGTGTTTAATCTTTACAGCAGGTATCCTTGAATAAGGCTAGGTCAATTTTTGCACTCTATGGTGTCTTTGCAGCTGCTATGTGTGTCTGAAGGTTTCGGTAATGCTAGAATATGATGGAGTAGGTCACATTTGATTTTACATCACGATTACGCGCACTAGATCTTGATGGGATTGGAATGACGATACAGCAATCAAGTCCACGTGCAAGCAACGGTCGAGGATCAGTATATGGACACTTTTTTAATCAAAACGGAGAGGTACGAATTTGTGGTTGTTCATGTTCCTGCTCTTACTAATCTGCTGATTTGCAAGATTGTTGGGGGGCTTCACAGTACGGCCAAATTTAAGGGAGTTCTAGCAAGCATCTTATAGTTCTTAACTGTTTTGTTCAAATATCTTGCAGCTTGTTATGTCAGCTTCTCAAGAAGGGTTGATGCGCAAGCTTCAAAAGTCAGACCGATCCGTAGCCAAGTCCAAGTTGTAAGAGAATGGATGCCGACTGCATTGGCATTATTGGATTGTTATCTGAAGACGACGAACTTCGTATTTACGAGTGTGTCGTCTTGGCAAGCCCTAGACATATTACTTTCACATGACTTTTACAGCTAATCAGAATTCTTCTGTATTCCAAAGTATCATATGTCGATTTTTCAACAGCAAAAGATTATTTTGTTATCTGATTTATGGCCCATATGTGAGGGTTATACACCTGTGTAGGCAACATGAATGACATCTTCCTTGTATGCAGGTTATGGACTTGTCCATTGCATTAGATAGTTTCCTAAATGGTGGTACCAGCACATGTAGGCTTGTCCAGGGATAAGATTGAAGAAATTGAACTGCTGAGTCGTTGACAAATGTGTGGAAAGAGCAATTCCTACAAATGCTCACTTTATTAAAGAGGTAAATGTAGGATTTATATATATCTATACATATGAATTCAATAAATTGATGTGAAGTGTAGGTGAGAGTAATGGAAAACCATGAAAATATTGCAAACACAAAAGTGTGGATTAAAATCTGAAAAAGAAAGGAACAAATTTAGGAGAAAATTGTAAATTAGAAACACCATTGTTTAATTTAAATAAATACTTTGACATTGTATTAAGGTAAATTGTGGTATAACAATATTTGTTAGAGAGGCAAGTGTTTGAGAAATTTTTTTTTTTGTTGGATGTTATTCAATTAATGCAATAATTCAGTGATACATTGACATGATCAATATTGAATACAATGTAGCTTTCATTGATTGAGGGATCATTTAAATCGAATTACTTTCCTTGTGTTCAAATTAACATTTTTACGAACTGAAATCATTGAAAAATAATAAGATAAAAGGAAATATCCCAATAAATAATATTATAAGCAAATTTACAGTTGTGGAATTGTGCTTGGAAAGATCAGATTAATATATTCAAAAGAAAAAAAATATTAAAACAGATATTTTTTTATTTTGCGAGATTATTTAAATGTGTTTTGTAGTAGATATAATATATACACATACATTTATATTTAAGTACAAGCAAATATGCACAACCACATGTGAAGGTCAAAATCTTTTCTTGTTGTTTAGGAAGAAGAAAAGGACATCAAAGTGAGACTAAGTGAAAAATTTGCAACAAGACATTGGACCTTGGACATAATAGGTTAAGAACTCATAAAAATTTAAGATTATTTTGATTATTTTTTAAGAAGTTACTATCAAAAGTGAATTATCATTACTTTTTGAGTTGATTTTAAGTTTAAAAAGAGACGATTCAGAAATATTTTAAAAATTAAAAAAACAGTAGGTGGTGAATAATTGGCTACCTTGGCTAAAATTGCCTCATTGACTATGATCATAAACATTTCTTAAAAGTTTTTTAGAAACATGATTATTTTATAAGAGTAGTAATTCATATTTTATGTTATTGTCTTCTTTGATAATAAAGTATAAAAAATTAGAATTAAATTTTCTTTCTTTTGAAATTTGGATATTGCTTTGTGTTGTAGTTAGAAAACCAAAATATCTTGTAGATTTGACAATAGAAATAGAATTTTAAAAAATATAAAAAATATTTAAATCTTATTTTTTTGTGGCATTATAAAATGTATCAAAATATTTCAGAATAGTTGATTAAAAATTTTAATTATCAAGATCACAATTAAGAAATATGTTACAAATGCATGCACCTATCAAAAATCAAACATGTTTATGGATTTAAAGAATAACAATTCAAATCATTGAAATCTAAACTCACTTTACTACCAAAAGCACATCAACTCTTTATCTATTTAGTTTTTAAAGGGAAGAGATATGATAATAGAAAGATGAAATTTGTAAAAATACTTCTTATTAAAAAATAAAAATAAAAACTCCTTGACCCACTTCCGAAGCTTCGTACCTGGTTCCTCCCATATATTGCCAAGCGAGTTCTCATCACGAGTGTGAACAAGGACCCATATCATCCAAGTGAAGCGCGACGAATGAAACAATGACGAAACACAATATCATCCATCCATCGGTGTGGGGAGCTCCAAGTCTCTGTCCGAAGGCGAGCGTGGTCGAGAATGCGCGATGGCAGCCCATTTCAATTCGATCGGTGTTTGAATGTGTGCGTCCGTGTGTGTGTGTTTGTGTGCGCGCGCTATTCCGGAGCCGATTGATTGAGACTCAAGATGATGTGAATTTATTCCCATTTTTTCTGGCTCTATTGGTAATGTCCCGACATGGTTCCTGTTTCTGCAATGTGAGTTTGTTGCCAAGTAGGTTTTAATCCTGGAGTCGGAGTATCGGTGACTTGTTTGTGGATTGTACGCTTGGGGTGATGACACTGCTAAATGGATTCGGTGTAGGGGGGAGTTGTGACTGATCGATTGGATTTCGGAGGGAGAGTTTTTTTTTTTTTTTTTTTTTTTTTTTTTTTGGTTTTGAGGTGCGGCATTGGTCTAGTTCGGAGTTTGGCTGGAGTTGCAGCCATGGCGCAGCGCAACCACAAGTACGATCGTCAGCTCAGGTGAGTCTCTATTTTGCCGTGGTTCGGCAGGCTGCCGCACTTGTGACCCTTAATGTAGCTGGTTCACCCATGGTTTGAAGTAGGTTGTAATCCTTAGTTTGACATGAATTTGATCTGTAATGTCATTGTTTTTGGTGAGTTCCAATTCTAGGTTAAGAGTACTCGAACTGGTGTTGGATTGATTATCGCTGATTGGTGTGGATGATATTGTCGTTTTGATTTATGAAGTGTCGTCCGTAGCATGGTCTTGAGATCCACCACTGCGGAGAACAATCTCTGTTTTCGGACCACTTTTAAGTGTAATTAAGAGGCAATGTGTTGTCGACATGTGCAGAATATGGGGGGAGCATGGTCAGACTGCGTTAGAACGAGCACGCGTTTGTGTTCTCAATTGTGGTCCTTCTGGCTCGGAAGCTTTGAAGAATTTAGTCCTAGGAGGGATAGGCTCTTTCACTGTTGTGGATGCATCCAAAGTCACTGAATCGGATTTGGGCAATAATTTCCTGGGTGAGCTTCGTTTGACCTGCCCATTTTCCTGGATTCTTCTTTGTAGGTCGATAAGGTCCGAAAATGTTTCGTGTACTCCCATTTTCCATGCTCGTTGATGAACTAAAGACTGAGTTTTGAACACTGCCCTTCTTCATATGATTACTTTGACTGTAGGTAGTTTTTTTTTTTTTTTTTTTTTTTTTTTTTTCCCCTCCAATGGACTGTGTCAACCTTACGGATGTTTGGGGATGTATTTTTGCAGTTGAATGGGAAAATCTGGGACAATCCAAGGCAAAGAGTGTATGTGCATTGCTTCAGGAGCTGAATGAATCAGTCGGCGCCAAGTTCGTTGAAGAGTCGCCAGAAGCTTTGTTGGAATCTAACCCGGCATTCTTCGCACAGTTTACTCTTGTTATCGCAACGCAGGTAAATGATACAGTTATCGTGCTAACACGCGATTTCTTTACGACGTGCCGTTTCGTGCTTGGCAATCACAGAACGCTCATTGTTCCGGTAGCTCTGATACGGAGTAGCCTTTGCCAAACCTTGCCTTGTCACTTATACAAATAGATGAGCTTAAAGTACATTTTTGTGTCTTTTTCTTGATTACATGTAGACATGGTAATTTCAAACCTATTTTCTACTATTATACATCTTGTGCTCAGGTTTATTTAGACATGAACTAATTCTAGTTTCAGAAAAATTCAAAGCTACCTTCATTCCTATCATTTTCTTTACCTTTAGTCACTGGGTTTGGTTTTGGCTAGATGACCGAGGCGGCTTTACTGAAGTTGGAGGAAATATGTCGTCAGCAAAAGGTTATGCTTGTAATTGCTCGCTCCTATGGCTTGGCGGGACTTGTTCGATTATCTATTGGGGTACGTGCATCAGGCGATGACTCTCTCAGTTGATCTCGCACTCTTCCTTATTTGGGTCATTGATCACCTCAATTCTTGTCACTTCATAGTATTTTTTTTATTAAGGGTGTTTGGATGATATATGATTGGAGCTTTACTTTAAAGTCCGAGGCCGTGCGCAATGTGCTTGCGATGTGACAAAACTTGATATATCCATGTTGGAAATGTCTGGTCTTTGCAGTGTTATAATGTAACTTCGTTTCCCGCCTGTACAGGAGCATGATGTAATTGAGTCAAAACCAGACAGCAAAGTGGAGGATCTTCGGCTTCATAAACCTTGGCCTGAACTTCAAAGGTCCAATATTGTCAGAAATACTGAGTTGTTTCAGCATGAAACAGTTTTTTGCTGCATTGCTCGAAGTGATGTGTGAATGATTTCCTTGTATAACACGTATACCGGCTGATACATTCTCTGTACCCCTAGGTGTCATCTTAATTAGCCAAGTAGTAGAATTTGATTGCGTGGATCTAGAGGTGACAAAGCATTATTGTGGTTTCTTAAGATCTGATAGATATTTTGCGGCTTAGCTTGCTTCTCTGGATATAGCTTGTCTTATTCCTCCTCGTATTTCTGTGTTGTGCAGCTACGTTAATGAATTCGACATTGATACCCCAGATAATAACTTGCACAAACATATTCCATTTGCAGTACTCCTGATAAAAATTTCAGAAGAATGGAAAAAAGCACACGATGGCAAGTTACCACCAAATGTTAGATTGTTCAAGGTACCCATACGGCACATTTTATCTTGAAAAAGGCATGGAATTTGATAGTTGTTAAATTTTTTGGAGAGACAAAAGTTCATATTATAATTGCTTATCCAGCTCTGTTGATTGTTACGTTAGTCACTATCTCTGTTTCTGAAGGACTTTTCGTTGTATTCTTAAAAAAATTTAGGAAGCAATCTCTGCAAGGAGGCGGGTTGAAGAAGAAGAAGACAATTATACTGAAGCTTTGAAAAATGCATACATTGTGTTGTTTCCTCCCCAAATTAGTAAGTTCTATGTTTCTGAATGATTGTATTGGTAAGGGTAAATGCTATTCTTCCATTTTCGTTTCATTTCATCACTTACTCTCTTTTTTCTCTTTTCTATAATACTTTTTTATTCAGGTTCTTATCAGGTGAGCTATAAGGTTTCAAGTCCTCAGAGAAACATTTGAATTTTGAAGTCATAAACCTTCTAGCTTCCATTTCTGATTGGTCAGTCTAGCTCTGTGTTTCAGTTCTGGTTTACGAATTTCTGAATGCCGATTTGTAATGGCTCTTCAATTCTTGGTATGTGCCAGATTCGCAATTACATGCTGTTCTGGATGACAAAGCAGCGGATGTTGATGCGTCATCTTCTGACTTCTGGGTCATGGTTGCTGCTCTCAAGGTTTGTTGAAGCTGGTCCCTATCTGAGTTGATTATCTGATACGATGAGGTTGCTATTCTACAATTTATTGAAGCCTCTTTTATGCACCCAAAGTTTTAGTTTTGTGATTCTACCATTTAGGTGGAAAATTTCTGCTTTTCCTAATTTCCCATATTTGCTCCTCTTTACTATTTCCCTGTTTAAATTTGTGCTTTCGTGAATGTTATTATCTTCTCTTATCTATAGTGTTTAAGCTACTTGCAGCTATTCATGGCCAATGAGGGTCAAGGAGATCCTCCATTGGATGGTGCAATTCCAGACATGCATTCCTTTACAGAGTAAGATGTCATCATCTCAATTAAAGTTTATGATTGTCGCGCTTTCCCGTCATAAGTCAAATATGTTTTAAAGATCAGTGGTAGATTTGGATAATTGCTTGCGGTCCCATTTTGGAAGGAATCAATTTATTCTAGTAAATGAATATGCCACCTGAACTTGTAGTCTTGACTTCTATCGCAGCTACTATATTAAGTTGCAAATGATATATCAAGCACGAGCAGAGGCTGATTTAATAGCTATGGAAGGACATGTGGCTCGCATATTGAAGCGAATTGGCCGGGAATCTTCTCCTATACCTAGAAGTACATTAAAACTGTTTTGCAAGAATGCTCGTAATTTAAAGGTATGAATGTTGGTACTTGCCTTTTCTATGTTGCCTGTGTAGTAGGTCAGGGAGTACCTTGCTACTTCGACAATTTCTAATGAATACCCGACAGTGTCTTGACCGTTTCAAGTCTCTTCAGGCAGCTCTTAACATCGTTAAAGCTTATGCAGGTATTGAGATGTAAGAGGTTGGGTGAAGAGTTTAGTCCCCGGTCAGGGCCTGAGCTTCAGAGACTTCTTGCCGTTGAAGAAAGCAGGTAAAGAGACTGTTCCGATCATCCTTATCTCTTACTTAGTATTCTTAGTGTGCAATTTCAAAGTGTAATGCAAGAGTATTACATCCAAATTCCCCATTTTCTTTACGACTCTATTAGGTTTCTGCTCTTTGCAGATAGTTATTTTAAATGATATGTTGAGAGGTTTTAAATGTATTTATGTTCGATTCTTTTACAGTCATCCAGCTTTGTATGTGCTGCTTCGGGCAGTAGACCACTTTTCTGCAACTTACAATAGATTTCCGGGTGTCTTTGACCGGTATGTGCTACAACTACTAAGAGAGATAGAATTTCCTTGATCTTTCTATCTCATGCAATGGATCAATGGCTGGACTCTTCATGTTAGATTTGGGTCTTATTTGCCTCCTTTTTTTTGAAACTTCAGAGGTGGCTCAATATTTGACGGAATTTTATGTACATCACATATTAGATTACTGACTGAGGAAATAAGTAGTTTCTTTGCAGCTTTTATTAATATATAGTGAACCAGTCTACATTTCTTAGGATTTGGTTTGTATCTATTCCTTCCATCCTGAAACAAAATGGAGTAGAATTTTAGGTACATAGTATTGTGTCTCGAAATACCAACGGTTCTGTCCATTCAGGGAGATGGAGGAGGATGTATCAAGGTTGAAGGCGTTAGCGGTAGGTCTATTAAATGACATGGGGGGAGGTGGAGCAAGTCTTCCTGAAGACATAATTAGCGAAGTATGTCGGTTTGGAGCAGGCGAAATGCACTGTGTGGCATCAATTGTGGGGGGAATTGCTTCTCAAGAATGCATTAAGGTATTAATGCTCCTTTATTCCTCAATTTGTGTCGATCATGAAGATTAATTTGTCGACTTCTGCTTTATGTTGCTTTTGACAATGTTTTTCTTTTTCTTTTTCATTTCATTGCTTTTCTTTCAATGCTCTATTCAACAATATCCTTAACTATTCTTGTGTCTTTGCAGTTGTTGACGGGGCAATTCACACCAATTCAAGGAGTGTTCATCTATAACGCTATGAGTGCCACCTCCTTAGTGCTAAATCTGTAGTTCGCAGCTGTTCTAATATCTCCTGCAACGGCTTCCTCTGCAGGTTACTAGGGGGGACATTCGCCATTCTGCAATCTTAGACCTTTCGTTCGTTTTTGCTCTCTGATCTGCTAGGTAATTCTGATTACACTGAATATTAGCTTCAGCAATCGCAAACATTAGATAAGGTGCATGGAGTGTACAGAAACTACTAAGGGTGGTTCTCCTCCCCATTAACAGATGATATGCAGACCTTCACTTTCCACTTGTAGTGGTCGGCTGTTCGTAGCTACTAGAGATGATTTTTATAATTGCAACGTTTCATGGATAACGTTTCTGTGTCAAATGATCAGCATATTTGATGGTTTTGAAAATCTTATGTCAGCCTGAAGTGTTTGTTTCAGGACAATTATGGTACTTAGGTAGAATGGCAAGAACTTATCTATTTTCAATGTGACATGGTATATTTCGCTTCTTTAGTGGAATGACATAGCTACAGAAGGTTGAAGAATCATCTCCACAAAAGCATAACATATAGCTCGCGGTTTACGAAGATCCAATCTTCCGTAATCAAGTATCAGGTTGCCCAGTTTTTAGGTGATTCTTACTTTGCGTTATATAGATTTATTCGTACTCCACATCTGCAGTAGTAGAAATGGTTTGAGTTATATTCCTGTTCTGAGTACCACAGACGATGTTGATCTCAGTTTAGAGGTACATTGGGGTTAGTTTTTGTTCCAGTATATCATGCAGGGACAGCAGTTAAGTGCTTTTTTCAGCAGAATGTTTTGTAAGAAATTTCAAGGACTTTGCAAATAGGTCCAAGCAATTAATCCTTGGAGAGACTTCCTTTGTATGAATCATATTTTATTCATTTTATTCTATATATTGTAAGAGCATAAAATCTAATAAAATCTAATTCTTGCACGCTAATGTTAGTCAATTATCATAGTATTTTTGTCATTTCAAATGGCTTTAATAGTTCTCACAAAAGAAATGAAATGCATTAATTTTATCCTTTTAGGCTTAATATTTGAGGGCAAGGTTACCAAATACTTCCACTTATTTGCACTCTAAATCCTTTAACATTGTTATATCCTCTCAAATGTGGGCTTTTGTCAATGCAATGAATATGTCTCCTTACTTGGTAATTTCACGTTTAGATACATACATTCATTTACATTAGAAAAATTCCATTTCAAACTTTTGTTTGCTTGCAATCCCAATGTTGAGATCTCATGTAATATAATAAGTTCTCTTATACACTTAGATAATCTTACTCCTTTCAATAAACAATCAACCTATTGATAGTGCAAGACAATAGACTATGTTTTGGCTTGATATCTTACTTACATGCAGGCAGAAAATTTCAAAAGAATATTTAGAGTGTAAATCAAATACTCATTACTTTTTCACTAAACCAAAAATAAATAATAAATAAATTATATATATATATATATATATATGCTGAGTTGACGATAGGGGACACGGTGATCCATTCGAAAGGGACGTTTCGTCCCCAGCAGGGAAACGTTCGAGACCCAACACCGCGCTCTTCGACTCGGAGGGGGTCCCGTTGCCGCGCTGGGGGATCACGGCAGAGTCACGGGGCCTCTGCACTTGTGCACTCGCTACTACAATTGCTCAACCTTCCGAGATCTGAAGCTTTGCTTCGTTGAATTGCTCAGTTTGCTGCGGTTTCCGGTTCTCTAAAGTAATCTGGAAGCGGCGTTTTCGAATTCGGATTCGTCTGAGGAGGTTGCATTGACTGCGGTATGGTTTTTGTGGCTAAAGAGAGTGTGTGCGGCCAATTAGGCGCTGCTTTTAGGTTGCGTGGATTCAGCTGTCAGCGGACTGTGGAGAGCTGTTTAATTTTGTACGGAATTGAGATAAATGAAAATTTTAGTGTGAGGTTCGATCTGAGTTCTCGTTTAAGGAGCATTGAAGCTGGAGGTTGTGTGCGAGTGAGTCGGCGAGGAAGAGGTGGTGCTTGGAGGAGAGGGTGTACTGGTAGTGAGCAGATCGATGTTAGGGCTTTTGGATCTCAAGAAAACGGGCATTCGGATACGGTGAAGGAGCAACCGAAGGTTTGTCTTCGGTGTGGGATGACCTATCAAGATGAGGACAATAGTCCGATTGTTTGCAAATACCACGGCCACATGACGGGTCAGTATCCTACTCTAAGCTTCTCTTTACGAAAGATTTCTTTTGTACGTGTAATGCTCTTTTTTAAGCTTTCAAGTATGACGAAAGCACAGGTCCCTCGTTCAATAGAGGATAGTGACTTAGGAGAATTGATCAATGCTGTTTCTCCTCGGGCAGATTGTGGAGGCTAACATTCATGTTTTCACCGTCAAGTAGCCCACACGTCAAGTACTGTTACCATTTCCATCGGTTGAAACAAGCGTATTGTCCTCCACTTCAACAATAAATAAGATTGTCGCAATCACTGCTGCTATTTTTGCTTCCCCCTACGATACTTCAGTGCGTTGATGTAAAAACTACACCTCGAATTGATACAACTCAGTTTCTAAAATGGACATGCCTAATTGATGCTGACTGTAGAAGAGTGGAGCGGCTTTCTGCTGCGGCTTGCAAAACATTTTGCAGTGCATTGTGATCACTCTGTGGTTCTCTTGTGCTGGGCATCAGGAGATCCAGGTTTGTATACCTACGCGCCTCCACATCAAGGAATAGACGGAGAGTGGGCTGATTCAAGTGGAGTTATTGTCTATAAATGGAATACCAAGAATGAACGACCAAATACGGGAAGTAAAAATTGGAAACAAAGGTGGACATGCTGTGGGGTGTACGATGAAGACGCTGCTCCTTGTCGTTTGGGAAGACATGTATCCTACGACGATGGAGCTACTCGATTTTGATTATGAATGTTATATACATATATCTGTGGGTATTGCACAGTGTTTGTTGAATTGCTGTGGTGAGTAGTTCAAACACAACCATTTATGCATCGCAACTACTCGTCGCAATTGATAAATGTTAATGTGGTAATGAAAGTGAAGACAATTAATTTGAAGAGAGAATTGTAACCTCGACTCACTACCAGCAGTTAGATGCTAATGAGCTTGAAAAGCGAAAAGATGCTTATCGGCAATTTCTAAGCCACGTTGGTGATGACGAGATACATCGGCCGAGCATTTCAATACCCGGTTCTACTCGTACAAAGAATGGTTTGTGCCTGGCTTGATTAGCAGAAGAAGCACATATCGTACAACAGTGCTACAATGCTTTCTATCCTCCACAATACTTAGCTACTACGATGAAATCGCCGGATCGACAAAAAAAGAAAACATACTAGCGAGAATGTGCTATGAGTTTGTGCTAAACTTCGTTGCAAAGCCCTGGAGCCTCTCTAGCTTTTTTCACGCCATAAATGCAGCTTTCATTTCATGAACTCGTTGGCGTAGATGGGGAAGAGGGCTGCAGTCAACAACCACGGCTTTTTCTCGTTGTGTGGCATCGGCTGCTTCCGAACCAATGAGAAACCGTTCGATCAATGGGAATCAACAACAGACGAATGTGAATCAAGCGAGCGAAAGCCCTCGAGATGCCGGCGATTGCATGGAGTACGATTCATGTCTAGGTCATTCACGCAGACACATCATCGTTGCATCCTGCAAGCAAACTGGTGAGTCGATTCTGGGGTAATCCCGTAACCTAAATTCTCAAAAATGTCTGGGGGTGAGACTTCACAGGTACACATCTGATTACAGTACATTCTTCAACGTTGTCCAAACATCAATTGATTACCGTGATGCAAGTTTCCTCCCGTGAAGAAGTGAACCGGTTGGAATAGACGAGGTGGAGAAGCTGGTACCAATTTCAGAATCTGCGCGGCCAATGACAGCGTCAAAAGCTATTCACCTTCACGTGACACAGTAGCTTAAGATTAGACACCGAAGTGAGATGAACGACGGAATTCCCGGGGGAAAAGAAAATGCGACAAAGACTAAAATGCTGCTACCCGAATGCTGGTATCAATCTACATTAACACCACAATAGTAAGCAAGTTATTGCTGAGAAACCAACAGATGCATAGACGTTCGGCTTCTCATACTCAAAAACTTCTGATATCTAAACCCAGAGCAGATAATCGGTAAACATGGGTAGTTACTAGGACTGAATGACATCACAAAGCATTCCCAAAGAGCAATTTATCAGCAGCGGAGCCAAGGCAGATGACCAACGATAAGATCGACTACACCGAGCTCGATAAAGTAACTCGAATCCTTCCCTCAGTAAGGTGATTTTCTCTGAGGTCTCAACAAAGTTGCATTGTTGACAAGTATCTGATAATCGGTTTTAACAACGGGTACAAGTCGCGGCGTGAGAACGAACAGGAAATGACATGAATGCGCACTTTCTCTACTCCCTCACTAGCCTCGAATTCTCCTCTCAAATGCAGTCAGTGACTTGTTGTGCTTTCCCAACGTTACCTGTAGTGAGACGGTAGTACACGGAAGTCATCACTGTCGTAACCCAGACAACCATAACAATGACAAGCATAATCCGCTGGAAGAGCTCCCACTGCTTCGTCTTCCTCACTCGCCGCAACCGAATGCTCAGTTGAGCCATGGAACACGCATCGTACATCTTGAGCGCCATGGTGCCGCCAGGGCTCTGAACTAGATTGGCAGTTGCGTGGAGGTGCAATCCCCAGGCTCTTCTTCCCTCCCCAAACACCCCTCGTTAACCCCACATCCTCGACCTCGCCTTCCCATCCACCGCCCCCCAACCCGTCGGCATCTCCCAATGCAGCATTTGTAGTGTCGGGACCTCGCGCGCGCGGCAACGAATCCCTTGCGTTTCCAGGAAAAGAAAGAGAAAAAAAGGGCGGGATAGGAGCATCATGTGGGTAGCATGCACCGGAGAGGATGTGCTCCTGGTGGAGATGCGGTGCTGCAAGGCTGGCAACTGCTATTGCGCGCCGCTGGAGTTGTAGGGGAGTTGTAGGGAGTGGGTGAGTAAGTGACGATGATGTCTCTCGCAAGGGACATGGGCAGGTTGCAGTGGTAGGCAGTGTGCAGTATGTGCAAAGATGCGACCTTGGTGTCCTCCTCTGCCCCTTGTTCTGCATCACCTCATTCTTCATGTTCCTTTCTTTCGTTCCTTCATTCCTTCATGATCCCATTCCTAATTGTTTGTATGTTTGCATGTTTGTTTGTTTTCTTTTTTTTATTTTGATGTCTATATCTTTTTCCAGATAATAGTTGGTTGTCACAGTGATACCTGGTGGGTGGGGTTAAATTCACATCTCATCCCCTCCTCGGCTCCACTTCCGATTCCGATTCCCTGGAATGCGTTGCCCCTGTCTTAAACGGCTTCTGCTCGTCAGTTTGTTTGCCTCCACCTCCTCCGCCGTCGTCGTCGTTCTCGTTCTAGTTCGAGGAAGAAGACGAGTGAGTAGGCGAGCGAGGTGAGGCCAAACCACGTAAACCATGACACCATGAAACCATGAAACCATGAGTTGACATGGGTTTTTGCCTTTTCACTTTAGACATTGCAAAATAAATCAAATAAGAGAATATGGATAGGATTCCAATATGTAAATTTTTAGGAAACATTTTTCTATAAGAATAGAATAATGTAATTCTATTGTACATTTATTTTAATTAAAAGAATATAATCCATAATTAGATTGGATAGTTTATATTCTTGATTACTTTTTAATAAAAAAATTGTAACAGAAATTATATTCTAAGTGTGAAAAAATCAACATCTTATTTTTGGTGCAAAAGTGTGTATGTATGTATGTATATATATATATATATATATTCATTCTTTTGATGTATATACAACATCCAACCTTAATCTAAGTTGATAGTTTGCCGTAATTCTAAAGCAATATTAGAAATATTAAGAACATGTAAATGTTATATGCAAACAAAAATAATTAGAAATTGGGATTCCATGTTGTTTTCTTTGATATTATGGTTTGTTATAATTTGGTCAAAAGTCCAAAAGTAATGAAAAAATTTAAGTTATTATTAGAAATAGCCAATTTTATTTAAGTATTTTGTATATATTATCTAAATATATCTAATTTGTTTATTTGGATTTTTTTTTAATATATATATTTTTCTTTTATTTATTGTAGGTATATAATTAAAAGATTGTGAATTAAAATAAACCATTTAAATTTATAGCATTCTATAAATAATTAGTTTTAGAGTAGTCTTACATTAAAAATTTAAAAATAGATATTAATATGTATAAAAAATATCTTTGTTCATTAATATAATTTATTACAAAGATAAGTATTAATTATAGGAGGTTAATAGATATAAGAGTGTGACTTCTCTCCTCCCTCTCAATGCACAATTTCTTCCTTTCTCTTTAAATAACTTTTCCCCTCCCTCTTAATAACTTCATCACTTCTTCCAAATACACTTCTCTCCACTACTAGACCTCTTCATTTTAGTAGTTCACTTCTCTTATCAATCCTCTCTCTTATTCTTTCTATTTCTCTCTTCTCTCTTTATACATATTAACTAACACATTTCTTTGGTTAAGTTTCTAGCAATGCCACACTCTTCTATAAGAAATTTAATCAATAAGAAGCAATTATAACTATGTAAGCCCAAATGATCATTTTCTTGAAACCTTGCAAAAAGAATTAATCAAATAAATAAAATAATAATTTATTTTTTTCTAAACTTATATTTAATGATATAATTAGGAATATTCGAAATAAAAATAAAGAAATAAAATATAGAACATGCCAAACTTGCAAGTAAAGACATTGACATAATTATATTTTACAAATAAGACACTTCCTTTGCAAATTGGGTGCTTCAATATCAAGCTCACTTAGTAGTTTTGTTAGATGATTTGATAAAAAGAAATCGAATTTTTTTTCTTTGAATTAAGTATTAATAAGGCCGTTAAATTTTCCAATAATTAGCTTCAAAGTTCTAAAGTCAATACAAATATAAAGTAGTGAAGTCTTATAGTGAAAGTAGTTTTGTTAATAGTAGAATCATTAAACTTGAGATGTATATACCTCAAGCAATAGTAACAAAATATAAAATCTAAAATATATACAAAATGCATAAAATTAGACTATTTCATTGCATGGTACATGACAAAAATAGTGTTCAACATTAAATTAAAGGTTTAAAGAAAGATAAACCTAGAATCACAATTGGTTTTATCACTAATGCAAATGGCTTTATTATCAAAGAAAGTCTTTTTTAATGGACATCTTATAAGATTAGAAGCATTCAATTAATATTGTAGCATCTAACTTAAATTTTATTACCAAAATAATTAAGAAGCTTTAATGAATTGATTTTCTTTTTTTTCTTTTTTTAGAGTGATTAGCATAAATATTGCTTCTACTAAACAATGTCATATTCTATACCAAAAGAAATTTTGAATCAAAAAACACTCGACTACTTACACTTATTACAAACATAATATAAAAAATCTAATCCATTGATTAACTGAATTTTTATAAGATATTAAATAAATATATAAATCATATTTTTTATTTAAATATATATATATATATATATATATATATATATATATATACATATATATATATTAAATAAATCATGTCTAATGCTTTGATTTATGTAAGTAAAAACAAAGTAGTAAGAAACTTATAGTATTAAAAATAATCAAATTATATTATTCTTTTAAGTTGTTATGAATAATCAAACTACATTGCAATATTCTTAATTTTTTTTTTTTTTTTTGGTTTTATCTTCTTTTATTATATTTTTAGCTATTTAGAGTCTATGTCAATTTTTGTAGTTATTCTATTTATTTAGATATTTATCTATCTTTTGCATATTTTTTTTCATATAAATTTGTTGTACTTAACCAAGTCATTATAAATTGATTTTTTAATATAGAAGTCACATTATTTTTTATTACTATTTAAGAATTATTATTTTTATTTAAATTAAATTAATCTATAAGTATATTGTTTATAATAATGACCATATGTTGCTAAGACTTTTCTAATTTGGATGGTGTAGTAACTAAAAATATAGCTTGTTTTTTTTTAAAAAACTTTTTTAATTCTTTATTTTTTATAATCAAAATAAATTATATAAATAAATAATGTTTCCTAACTCTAAATTCTCTAAGCTTTTTTGGAGTTACAAAGTCTATATATAATAGATTTTGATGTGTAATAATTATATAATGAGTACTCAATGTCAATACTCAACAAATCTTAGCTTTCCCATGGGTTCAAAATCACACCATTATTCCAAAGAATCCAAACAATATATTGCTTTATTTTGTGTTTAAGATTCAAATCATTTGTTTTGTTAAAATTATATATTTTATTAAAATCTAATTTACCAATTTTACTAAACAAATAGTTTAATATTTTTATTTTTTAATTTTTTTTAAGATCCATTCATGGTACTTTTAAATATTTTTCTATCTATTTTTTTAATTGTCAATTTGGACCTTTTTTTAATTAAGATATAAAACTTATTGTAAAAAAGAATTTCAAAAATCTCAAATTTTGGTAGTTTAGATAATTTGAACTAAGTGTAATATTTATCATTTAAATTTCTAAAAAAATAATTAATAGATGTTTGAGAATAGAAAATAAAATTTTTCACCATTATTTTAATTTTTAATTTTTTTTAAAGAATAATTTTAAAGAGCCAAGAAGAATTATAAGAATGATATTAAAATACTATTGATAATGATATCTTAACTAATTGCATTATATTTGAAGGAGCACAAGTAGTCAAATTTGTATTTTAATTTATCAACTAAAAACTAATCCACATTGTAAGTATAAAAAAATAACTTTTAAGAAATACTTAGAAGTTTTATTAGGTCAATAGGTAATACCTAGGCCCATCTTAAATCATTAGTTCAAAGCTATTGCACAAATTTCTTGTTTTTCCAACATGCTATTTGTTTTTGACCAATTCTCAAAGTTCCAAAGCTAGGCTAAATTGTTTTATAATATAAATAAGATTATTTAAATTGGCTTCTTTTTTCTTAACAAATATGGTAGAAACATCTATATATTGACACATAACCTATTAGTTTAAGCTCTATGGAATATCAATGAAAAAAATTATTTTAGTTCAATTACTATTTTTAAATCACTATTTATATATTTTTAAATATTTTTTATTAAAATAATAATTTTACAGATATTTTAATTTAAAAATTATTTATTAATAATTAAAAAATATTTATTAAAAAAATTAATTTTAAGTAAAAAAAAAGAGGTTGTATTGAGATTTTGATCCATTTGGTTTTTTTAGAATTATTAGAATATCATTCAAAATAAATCTTAGAAATAGGAAAGTCCTTTGATTTTTATAGATCACATCAATCAAAAAAAAATTTAGTCTTTTTATAATAATTTTTTCTATATATTTTATATAAGGTATTTAATAAAGTAATATTTTATTAATTCCTAATTAAGATCTTATTTGATCCTTTATAAAGAAAAATGATGCAACCTTACATAATGTCTTAAAATAAGTATCTATTGTTAAAAAATTGATTGATCATTTTAATAGTTATCTTTATAATGTTCTAAATTCTGAATCCTAAATTCTAAAACTTTGAAGAATTCTATGTCTTAATGTTGTGAACATCTTTTTTAAATATAATTTCATTAATAGTTTCTTTTAATTCATTGAAATTATTAAAAAAATAATTCCTTAATTACTTTATTTATAAATTTGATAGAAATAAAATTTAATAGAAATAAATAAGCTATAATAATTTTGAATCTAAATGGCTACTTGCTTTTATAAAAATTAGCACATAAGTTATAATAAATATTTTTTAATTTAAAAATATTCTTTTCATTTTGATCATTTGTTGTTTTTGTGATATTATAATAAAGGGCCTATAGTATCTAGCTTTTAATGCATTAATACATTCTCTGGTATTAATCTTACTATGAATTTTCTACTTGAACTAAGTTCAAATTCTTTAATCTTGTCTTTATTTCTCATGTTGTATTAATTATGTTTGAACCATTTTTAAGGATCTTTAAATACTTGACTCTTAAAAGTAGACTTATAACATTTAGATTGCCTCTCAAATCTAGTCTTAAACTTCTAAGTAAAGTCTATTTTTTTTTAAAAAAAAAATTACAAAAGATGT